GATATGAGAATATAATATGAGTATAGGATATGTAAGGAACACCTGCTATCCAATGTGGTGTGAGACCATCCCTGCCAAGTTCCCACGTGAGATAGTAAACCCGTTCTCATAGCTAGCCAGGCTACATCTTTCTTAGAAAGGAGGTTGCCCACGTCGAAAATCGACTACGTCATGCAATCAAGCGGGAACCACGCTACACTCCAGACGATGCCACTGATTCGCCGAGTGGTCGGCTTAGTGTCCGAGCCCATACCAGAGGAGAATATGTGTTTTGCCTTGAGGACAATCATCCTTTTGCAGCTTGCCGAACGGTCACAGAACCGTAAAACAGAAAGGGACGGGAACCTGTGTTAGAAATGTCTCTCCATGGGGCACAATATCTTCGAGCGCCAACGGCCAGACTGCTCTCGATGCGGTCGAAGTCATTATAATCGTTTTGCACTAAGCAAGAACAAATAATCCAAGCCCTGGATACATCGGAAGGGAATGCTCATAGTTCTAAGCAAAGGAATATACGAGCGGATGATCCTTCAAGAGCCCCATCTATCAATGTGCAAGTCTGGCGCATAATGGCTCCTATGAACAGAGGAATTTCTCAAATTGTACCCATCTGAGGACAGAAATTGAACTGCCTTCAACAGCAAGCCACGGCCAGATATCCTCTCAGCTAGTTTTAATCGCTGCCAAAGGTCACATGTGGAATCTCAATAAGCAGTGTTGCAAAAAAAAGTGTTCTTCCTTTTCGATCCTGAGGCCCAGAATACGGTCATCCAATTAAAGCTAGCCAGTCAGTTTGGTATACCTAGACGGGTAGCAAACTTATTATGTCGGCTATGGAAGGCCACGTAGAGAGGTTCACGACACATGCGGTTACCGTTACGATATTCTATGCATTTGGCGGAGAAATGGAAGTAAATATCCAAACGAAGTCTAAAATAACAAATGGCTTTCCGAGCATTCAGCTCACCTCCGAAGATATAACATTTCTGAAAGAAAACAACACTTCGCTCTAGCTAATTCAGAGTTGAGGGAAGAACACCAAATTCCCTACGTATGAGTGGGTCTGGATCACTATGACGACCTGGTGCTAATCCAGGCCCTACAAAAAAGAACTCTCCTGGGCCTCCATATTGCGAGGACCATAACTGGACTCAAACTGGTTTCTGTGTGCCTTTAGCTGGATTGAAGCTGCCTGTGTGACGTCCCTGACGTCGCCATCTTTATCACTGTCTAGTCGGATCCAACCACAGGCGCATCCTAACATACTCATTTCAGGTGCGAACGTTACGTTTAATGTATTACATACAAGGCTCAATACCTTAAACATGAAAATATGACACACTGTCACCAGTTGCACAAGCTAACAATAACCCCCGTCTCTTGTCAAAAATTCACCTGTATCACCTGTATCACCTGTGCTCCCGTTGATCATCGAGTTCCTCGAGCGGGCGCCAGTAACGTCTCCATTCGTCCCTGCAACGTGCGTTGCCCAAAGTACTCTCCCTGCTTGAAGGACACGATGAACTTCATACTTCATACCATTCGTTCAGAGCTTTCACGAAGAAGTCTGACCATCGCATAGGCGGTCGTCCAGGCGTTCGCTTGACATCCCGTGGAATCCAGTCGGTGATCGCTCTGGTCCAGCGGTCGTCCTCGAAACGCATGACGTGTCCGGCCCACCTGATCTTCGAAACCTTGGCAAATGCGGCGGCGTCTCTGATCTTCGATCGTTGGCGGAGTGCGGAGCTCCGGATTCCCTCTCTCACTTGCGTGTAGCGGGAAACTCCGAGCATCGCCCTTTCGATGGCGCGTTGAATAACGCCGACCGCATGCTCATCCTGCTTTCGTAGAGTCCAAGTCTCTGAGGCGTACGTCAAGGCAGGAAGGACCGCGGAATCGAAGAGGTGGGCACGGAGCTTGGTGTTCTTCGTCTTCTTCGCTACTCCCTCGATGTTCTTGAAGGCTCCCCAAGCCGCTCGCTTCCTTCTGCTCAGCTCTGGTGCTAAGTCATTCACCCAGGTACACATAGCTAGAGCATTCAGAGATGGTCGTTCCGTTGAGCGTGAATGGGGCATCAGAAACCAATCCGTTTCTCATGAACATCGTCTTCGTTAGATTCAGCCGTAGACCGATTTTTCCACACGCGCAGTCGAATTCAGCCAGCATTCGTTCCGCTTGCTCGATGTTTGGTGTTATCAAAACGATGTCGTCAGCAAAGCGGAGATGGTGTAGTTGCCGACCGTCGATCTTCACTCCCATGTCTTCCCATTCCAGTTGACGCATGACGTTCTCGAGAGAGGCGCTGAAGAGCTTGGGCGAGATGGTGTCGCCCTGTCGGACCCCTCTCTTCACATCGATGATGATCTCCTTGTAGAATGGTGAGATCTTGGTCGTGAAGTTGCTGTAGAGCTCACGAAGAATCCTGATGTACTGAGTAGGAATACCCTGGTTGCCCAGGGCTTCGATAACCGCTGTCTCAACGGAGTCGAAGGCTTTCTTCAAGTCGATGAACGTGAGACATAGCGGCATCTTGTACTCTCGCGATACTTCGATGAGCTTCGTTACCGTGTGGATGTGATCGATCGTGCTGAATCCTCTTCGAAACCCTGCTTGCTCGCATGGCTGTCCTTCGTCTAGTGTTCTGCCAATCCTGTCTCGTGTGAAGAGTTTGTAGACTACAGACAGCAGGCAGATTGGGCGATAATTGCCAATGTCGTACAGGTCTCCCTTCTTGTACAGCAACACAGTCTTGCTGGTTTTCCACGAGGTGGGTACCTTGCATTCCGACAGGTAGCGCGTGAAGAGTCGAGCCAGAGTTTTGACAAGAACTGGCGGAAGATTCTTCAGATGTTCGGGTCTGGATCAGCTCGAGAGTTTCCAGAGATAGACGCTTCTTGGTAATCTTGGAACTCTCTGACTTCTTGGCGCAGTCGTGAAGATGTGCGACAAGCCGTTCGTATTCCTCGTCGATGTTGTCGATGACGGAATCCTCCCAGAGCGAGAGAAGTGAAGTGATCCCAGTTGATGACGGTCTTGGGGCTTCGCTTCTTGAACTTTGCGGCTCTCTCTCCTCGCATCGAATATTACGCGAAGGATCGGATATTGCGCGAAGGAGATTGTGGTCGGATCCCGTGTAGAACTTAGGGACAACAGCGACATCGGTCAGGCAAAACCTTCGATTGCAGATGATGTGGTCGATCTCGTTATGGAATTGTCCACCAGGAGACTCCCATGTCCAGCGTAGAGAGTAGGGCTTCTGGAACTGCGAGTTACCATGGATGGTATGGGTCGACATGATAAACTCAGACAGCCTTTCACCCTGCTCATTCCACTCCGTTCCGTGAGTTCCGATGTGAAGTTCTTCAGCCGTTCTTCTTAAATACGCTCTCAAAAGAGGTGCGCAGTATCACACTTTATCAGAGTTCATTCCTCTATACAACATAGAACTTCTCCAATTCCATATAGAACGGCTCATCCTCGTCGTAGCTTGATGTTGGTGCGTAGGCGACGAAGATTGTCAAAGCTGGAGTTGAACCACATCTTCTCAATCGCAAACGTCCGATTCGGGTCGTCAGATTTTCGTACGAATCGATGTTCATGGCCAAGTGCGTGTTGACGAGGACGCCCACACCGCCAACGCCTCTGCTGTCGCATGTTCCGAGGAACAGTTCTTCTCCAGTCTCGTATACGGCGTGTAGCGGGCGATGCCTCCTCGTCTCGGTCAGTCCGATGACGTCGTACTTGATCTTCCTGGCTTGCAACATCAGATCTTCGATGTGAGCTTCCGATGCAAGCGTCCGTGCGTTGAAAGTACAGATCGTCATCCTAGTCCTGGGCGACTTAAATCTCCGTTGGCCCTGTGATTCTTGCAGCCTCGTCCGAGCGGTCCCAGCCAGCTCGCCAGGCTCTGACGTGGCACCCTCCGCATTGGTACGATTTGGAACAGTCCAAACCGTTCACCCCCACGCCACGCTGATGCTTATAGGATTTGTGGGGGTGTCAAAAATTAGATCAATATAATGTGCACCTCACTTGCATCTGCACTATGTTACACTTCGGAATCGGTAAACCAAGCTCCACTCGGATGCCTGACGCTATGCACTCGGTTGCTGGCGACCCCTGCAAAGAGAATAATCCGCTCCATTACTGCGGCCCCAGGAAAGCCAGGCGATGAAAGGTAGCAAAAATACAGAGGCGGCATTCCAAGGCATCGTGAATGAAACAAGCGGGTTACCACGGCGAGAATGACGATCGTAATCTTTCCTATTTGCCTTTTGATCTTCATGTTCTTCCACAATGATGAAATAATCCTTACTATTTTCACCATCAACATCGCCTTCCGAGCTCCGTTCGATCAATCGTCCAACCACAACCAGCCCCTTCTAGCCGCCACTGCCACCGCGGCCGTACTAGCAGCGCCATCTATACTGCTCTGTGATAAAATTACCATGTCGTTCCATGCGAAAATTTTGTATAACCCTCAATGAGATGTTAACTCCGTTGCCGGTGATATATCGTCGTCTCACTACCTGAGACGGCTGTCCCTAACTTACCCCGCCCTTTACTTGAGGCCAAGATGATTTTTGCCAGGTAAAGGGTTCTTTCTACCTCAAACCCGTAGCAATTAGCGTGAGACAACCCTTAAAAGATAGCTTATTATCTTTATTCATCCTCGCCTTGTTATCAAAACCACTGAACCAGCAGCACATTTCGGTTCCATATTGGAGCCATTCCTCATTTTTGTCACGAGTACTACTAGCAGAAGTAACCTTTAGCCTTCTTTTCGTTTTTTCCTAAGTTTTCGATTCTTCATGGGCAAAGGAATAAAATTCTAGGACGTAGCCGACCATTTTGATGTCCATTTTTCAGCGGGTCGGAAGTACCATTTCTCAAGCCACGCCAATCCTCAGCTGCCTCGAGGATTTGGCCCTGAAACCATCAACGTCAAATAGTGGGGGATTCCCTCTTTCAGCAGATGATAGTTAAATGATGTTGATAGGTTAGACCGATATGTCGGATGGACTCCTGGATAATGAATGCACACTTACTGTTTTGAAGTTATGCTGAAAAAGCAATACGTCCCAGTACCTGGTACAGGGGGTTTCTTCACACCTAAATAAAATACAAACCAATTCAATCAGACGATCAAATCGTAGGTAGAGATCGTTAAGTAATGTGACCACGTCATATGGAGTACACTTAGCGCAGATATTCGTGAATGTAACTATATCAGTGAAAAGCAGAGTACAATCGGAGAAGTCACCTGAGGGAACCGGTATTAACAGCATGTTACAGTGTGACGACCCTACTTCTGAGCCTCACTTGCTTCTATCATTTTTCCTTGTCGCAAGGCATCAGCAATAGACGCTGGCATCAATTCACATAAAAGTTCGTCTGTCTTTTGTTTCTCAATTTCCAACTCGTTCGCCATCTTTTTCAGGGATTTCGTTGTTTCTTCGAGCTTTCGGCTGAAAAATACATTTTCATATCTTACGCCAGCTCCATGAGCGATGCTTTTTGTTGCTTTTTGTCATTATACGATCACCTATACCTGATCGCTTCAAGCGCTTTTCTCGTCAACGAGTGACTTTGTTCATGCACCGCATTTTTGGTTCAAGTAGCTCTCAGACTTTGCGACGGCAGCGATTCGACCGCGCGTTTGACGCGATCGATGGCTCGATTTAGGTTCAGGAAGTCGGAGTGTATACAGTACCCTCGAAAGTTACGCCTGAAATCAAACGTGTCGCACCGTGAACGCACTCGCACGGTCCTGGGTACCGTATCCCACCCGCTCTACCCGAAATCGCTATCTAGTTCAGTTGTGTGCGTTCATGGCTGACACACTCAATCCCATGCGCGATTTCCGAAGGTACTGTATGCACCCTGACCTCCAGAACCTATAATCTTATACGCGCACGCGCATGCTTTCGGCCAGGCGTGCGTCTGATTCGATAGCGCTCAAATGCCAAAATAGAATGGACCATTGGATCAAGATCTAGTGGATGAAGCGTTCAGTGTTCTATACTATCATTACAGCAAATCGGGTGCTAACGCAATTGTTAGGGGCCACGCGGCTCGCGGCGAGTGATGACTCATCGGCTCTTCACTCATCGGCATACTTGAAACGCGAATCTAGCAGCCAAATCAGAATAAAACAAACAAGATTCACCGGGAACTTGCTGAAGAATTCCACAGAAGCTAAAAATTTGATTTTTTGTAGTCAACAATAACAGTCAACGACAAACATGCAACAAAATTTTGTAGTTTAGGCAAGAACCTTGCAGCCTAAAACTGTTTCTTTGCACTTTTCAGTGTTAACTGTTTTAACTTTTGAATATAGCTAGGGCGAAGTTATATTCATGTCCTAAACACGAAATTACTTCTATTTTGCCGAGGAGGGAGCAGAAGAGCAGATGAGTCATCGCTCGCCGCGAGCCGCGTGGCCCCTCCCAACTACGTTAGCGCCGCAAGTCGTCAGTGTAAAGTTTAAGGAGGATGAATTATTGCAAACCGCCTGTAGAAGAGATTCAGTTTGATGTGCTTAGCTGCCACATGGTGAAATTGCGCTAATATGAGCCACTCGCAAAGTAACATCCCGCTGTGTCGAATGAGCTTAACTTTTCGCAGAGGGCTCCCTTTTTTCTTTTCAATGGCCCGGTGCTTTTCTTTTGCATATTTGAGCTTTCAATATTTCGAGACTTGCATAAAATTAGACAAGACTGTACGTTGTCAAATTTCGAGCGCGAGGATCGGCGCCAAAACAGTCGCACATCGATATGGGCGCGAAAGCGGCCTATATAAGGGGCCGTCGGATTTCGAAAGTCAGAGTCTTCGTCTCGAGTCTTCCGAGTCAACAAGCTGCCGTTTCACCCCATCGTCCGCTCCTGCAACTCCCGAGCTGCCGTCCCCACGTTTCGTCTACCTGCACACTGATACTCAACTTCTGAAGTCGCTGTTAATTGCTGCTATTCTATTATTACCTGTTATTTCTACTTGTTGCTACATTTTTGGTAAGGAAAAATAATAAATCTTGTATTGTCTTGTGACTGTTAATAGAAACAAGGGTCATCACCCACTAATACATTTGCAATCTTCGGGGGTACTCTATGCATTCTGAATTCGTAAACTTATAATCTTGTTAGAATTACAACACAAGTGTTGTGTCGTAACTTTCAAAATCATGGATGTGTTCAATGACGTGAAATTAATAGAATTTGTTGTACATGGCGGAGCGCCCAAGCAAACTTTGCCTGACTTTTGTTTCAAGCAACGAGTGAGACCCTAACGTGCCAGTCGAGGCTCTAGCCTGCCAAGTTACGTCATCTTCCAGGAGTGAGCGGGGCTTCTTCGAAGTGGGCGAAGCTTTCCATGGTGAGCGAGGCAACCTGAGCTCTGCAAAAACGTGAAAATTTTGAAAAAGGACTGAACTTTCGCAAAATGACGTAGAAGTGTGTATGCTCCAAGGGGGCCAAACTTTGGGTGTCGGCGCATGGATGTGCGTTTATGAATACCTTCGTTGTGTGAACGGTGGGTGGGGATTAACAAGTTGAAAAAGTTATGGAAGTTTTAGTTTAGCAGCAAAGCCGCCGAGGCAGGGCTTGCGGTGGTGCCAGCGTGAACTGGTTGACTAAGTGCCCGTTCTGAAAAGCGTGGATTTGATTGGAAAATGGTGGTTTTCTTTTGGAAAGGGGTGGTTTCGCTTCAAAAAATGGTGAACTTCAATAGAAAAATCTTGAAACTATGTTTTGCTGATTCTTATATTCGGTCAATAACATGATCTTTTGCTATTTCTTAAGTTTAGTACGCATATAGTTAAGAAAGGGCTTAATTGAGGACTTTTCCATCAATCGAGACACATAGTTTGCAAAAAAACCTTTGATATGGAAATTTGACATCAGGGCAACTTCTGTAGAAAGTACAGTGTAGTTTCTGTATCTGATAAATAATCTAAAGTCAAAATGGTATATACCATAAATAGGTATATAATTATACCTATACTTACATCTACTTACTATTATAACAGCAGCAACGTGTGCGATTGACGTGGTCAAACGCTTGCGCGATCTATCGCGTCGAACGCACCACCGAAGCGCTGCCGTCCCGAAGTCTGCACCATAATGATTGTTTAGTAGGGAGCTCACAGTAATGTTTAGGCGTAAGTTTGGGTGCAATACGTGGCGCGGCTGCGGACTCACGCCCTATTCGACGCGGGTGAAGCCTTTATCGTTTACTGCTGTGTCGAACAGTGGTCGAAGACTGACCAATCCATAAAATATATTGCGTCGTGCATAAAACTTATCAGCCTCCCTTGACGATATTGGATGTCCAGTGAGGGGTAATGGACTGGTATAAAAATTTAGCGATCAACGAAAAGTAGCTTACAGCAGCCATCAACGTGATGTAATACAGCTAAGCAGGACCGCGTTCGCTCGAGATTTACAGAATTACTCCTGACATCTGCTCAGCTTATGAATGATTGAATTACTTGAGGCTCTTGCCCTTCATTGTAGAATAAAACTCTTACTGTTGCTCGGACTTATTGCTAGTTCAGGATACGTTATATGGCAATTAACGTATGAGGAGACAGAACAATAATTTGTGAAATCTAACGAGTAGGTGTCGTGTGTAAAAAAACTGGAACGAGTTGTTGTCTTCACAGGTAAAGGCGAGAAAGCAGGGCAGAAATTCCATATGCAAGGTCGGCAGCCGCTCTTATTGTGCAAGACCATACCTCGCGAGCTGGAACTTATAGTACCATCAGTCCTGCCGTCCGCTCCATTTGTCTTCGTAACCTGATAGGATATTCAAAAGAACACAGCCGAGCTTTATCTGAAAAGTATCCGAAGGTGTGGGGCGTTTTCCGCTAAGGGCTGATCTGGACGCCGACATGGAGTAGTGGCTGAAGCGAGCCGCTCAGACAAATGCTCTGAAAAAGAACACCTCTACTTATCCCAAAGGAGATCAACTTAACGCCCGAACCTCTATGATGCATGGGCTCTAACTAAGGAGCAGTGGTAAGACTGCCTCATTGAGGTTGAGCGCGTCGTCTATGGCGTGAGTGTGCAGCCGCGTTACGTATTGCACCCAAACTTACGCCTAAACATTACTGTGAGCCGTTTGCTCCCTACTGAATAATCGTTATTGTGAAGTCTGTACGCTGCCTTAGATCTCACATTCAAGCATTCAGCTTGTTAAGGGAAGGATACCAACTGCCATGGCATTCAGGATGGGAGGTATACTGCTGGAAGCATCTTCGGACGCTGATATTAAATATGACTTCCAAAATTGCCAAAGTATTCTAGGAGAGAAGATGCAGACCTTTCTCCCTACTAGGCTTAACCACTGCGGTGTGCCACCTGCCCATACTTTGTGAACCCCTCTAGACACAAACGCAGCCATGATTAGATGGTGCAGCAGATAGGTGAGCGGGCTCATAGCAGTTGGGCAAAGCTTCGAATCCTTTATACAACTCGTAGTTTTGCTTTTTCTTGAAACGCATGCCACAGGCAAATTTTATTTCGACTTCAGTGAAAGCATTGAAATTGATAGCTTCAATGTGCCAGCATAAGGCATATATTGCCGTAACTAGTTCGGAACATTAAGCGAGCACATGAGATATTTTGATACAAAATGGCGCTTATCCCTCAAGCTCTCCCAGTCTTGCACTAGTTTTCTGGGCACTGTTTACCCTCTGCTGCCCCAGTGGTCGGAAACCAAGACAATTGCTTTTTCTGCTTAGGCAGAATTGGCTAAAAATTTGTCTCCTGGGTAGTTTGACCTCCTGAACATGAATATCACATCCGCTCGGCACGAAACCTCCTGGCGCCCGCGCCACAGGCGCCGGCGCCAAAATGTCCCAAATCACCGGCGCCTGTGGCGCGGGCGTCAGTTGTTTCGGGCTAAGCGGATGTGATATTCGTATTCAGGAAGGTCAAACTACCCCAGGAAGACAACATTTGAGCCAAATCTGTCCACGGAGAAAAAAGTCGGTCAAAAACTGGCTCGATTCCGGATGACTGGGGCAGTAAAGGGTAAATGGCGCTGCCTTTCAGTTTCGCAAGTGGTGATCGGTAGCAATAAAGCGCAACGTGTTTTTCATGCACGAAAATGTGCGACTCTTCCTTGTACTTGGTCGATAGAATGCTATGGCTTTACTCACCTAAACCACAAGCATAGTGTGGACTTCTGCGAAGTGAAGCCCTTACGCAATGACCAATTCAAACCACCTCCTCTAGCGAGACCTCAACATCCCCGAAAGTGATTGAGGCTCTCCTTTTAGTCTGTACTGAACTTTCGTCATCGAAACCCGATAAAGGCGATCCTTTTATCGCCATTATCAGGGGCCAAAGGATCAATATCGTCGTTCTACGGAGCTATCTTCCTCGCACTTGATCAAGAGGTTGTCCCACAGCGCGTTCGCGCAATATCGCA